TCACTCCTTGAACACCTTGCTGAGTAATGAATTTGTACCAGAGGCAAAGAGTGCTGACCCCTGCTGGCCGGACCTTCATTTGCCTGAGAGTGGGCAGGGACACGCTATGCTGAGAGCCACATTCAAGGATAAGTGACGAGCTGGGAGAGAGTCACACAGAAGAGGTAAAGAGAGGACAGGATGGAGTAAGAGGAAGAAGAGGGAGGAGTGTAGAGCTGATGATCACAGTGGACGAGAGGAGTGGGGAAGAAATGAGACCTGCCAAAAATAGGTCTCTGTACTATGACCTAATATGTCTCTTAAACATGTTTGTACCGTGGTGTTTCTTAACTGGACCTAATTAGGTTCTGTTTGGGGAAATGATGCTCTTTCACAGACGCAGTGCTAGGGACTGTCAAAAATAAAGCAAGAACGTACATCAGCACAATTTCTTTTCCTGTCATGGTAGTTTAAAATACCCATTTCAGCAAATATAAGGATGAGAACAGTTTAAATATTGTACTTTTTAATTTTTTAGTGCAAAGCATCAAATACATTTATTATTATTTTTATATGGTAAAGTAGTGGGGTATGTCTTTTGAAAATACTGTACATTTTCCACCATGAATTATCTAACATGAATAAACTGGTTTCAGGGTACGATGTGGAAATGTGTTCAGAGCTATGCTAACACTGGAAAGGCAATGCCTACCTAGGTCATCACAATATTAGACAATGGAAAACAAGTAAATTCAGAGAGCTAGCATAAAGGATTCTTAATAAATCTGAACCAAACCAGACCATGGGAAAAACTTCTACAGACAGTCAGATCTGGCCAAATATGTGAGAGAGAGAGAGGCAAAGACAGAGAGACAGAATTAAAGGCCATTTTCCGTCTGTCCTTCAAGATAACACTACTTGTGCAGCAGTCCTGGGAATAGTTCCATAGCCACTTGGCTGAAAAGTGGCTTATGTGAGAGAGATCAAATCCCTGGTGACAGTTCTTTGTCCTTGCAAGTACAATGAATAGCTCCTGACTCATTTAGGCAAAAATCTAGCCTTTATATTGCCATTGAGGGTGTGTGTGCACTTTGCCCACATGTGAAGGACCTAGCAGTGTCCACACCACTCCAGTGGGCTCCGAGGGGACATGACGTCAAGGCGCCTTTCAGTAAAATGGAAATAGTCAGAATTACATGGGAAACCTTTAATAAGTAAAATCCTCTGTTGTTACAGTGTTCACATAAATTGTAGGTAATTCATAATTCCTTATATGACTAGAATTATTGAAGTAGAAAGTATAAATGGAACTAAATGTTTAGGCTATTTTATTTGCTCTTTTTTTTTTGCTAGTACTCCACCCTCTAATTAGAATATGTGTGTTATCACTACAGTCGAATACTTGCCCAACTTGCCTATGTCCAAATAGGACCATCAGTCCTGTTGAAGCTTTCTACTGACCTGGGCTCTTTTAGCCTCTAGGCCTGATATAATGAATTGGCTTCCTATGAATCAGTCAGTTTTTGACCATTCAAGGACTTGTTGTTAATTTCTATGTTTTCCATTCTTTTAGGTCCCCTCCTTTATCTTTTACCTGTTTTTTAAGTGTTCTCATTACCTGTTGGGACAGAGAAAGGGTGTTGGAGTGAAAGTAAATTATAGTTCTTTTATTCATTTTTAGGAAGTGCGAGGAAAAAAATGTAGATTGCATCATTTAAAATATCTTAATTTAATTTATTATAGAGTTTAAAGGGAAGGCAAAATTCGTAAGTCCATGAAATTTAAGAATTGTTTATGGATTTCTCTGATTAAATTTATTCTTTACATCTTCAAAATGGTTAAAAGATGACTATATCTTTTTTCTGTAAAATTTTAACCAAATTATATAAAAAGGCATTTAGCTTTTTTAGCCATTTATACTATTCTCTACATTTAAATTAATATAAAATTTTCCCAAATAGTTTTTAGTGATCATCAAAATAAACCATTAATGACAGTCAGTAAGTGAAACCACATTTATAATTCATGAATATATGTACATTTCTCTAGCCTTTTATTGCACATCACAGAGAAATGTCCCATTAACATTTTAGTGGGCCTTCCAGTTCTTTATTTATTGTTATTAATACTCCTGATCTTAGCACAAAAGTTAAGAAAAATATCACTTAGCCTTTAGATTTGAAGCATAAACAGAAAAAGGTTATTAAGTAATAAACTATATATGAAAGCAACTACATACTCCAAACAGGTCTATATAAATACCTGTGGTGAGCCCTGGCTGGTGTAGCTCAGTGGCCTGAGCGTGCACTTGCAAACCAAAGGGTTGCAGGTTCGATTCCCAGTTAGGACACAGGCCTGGGTTGCAGGCAAGGTGCCCAGTGGGGACACATGAGAGGCAACCACACACTGATGTTTCTCTCCCTTCCCCTCTCTTTAAAAGTAAATAAATAAAATCTTTAAAAAAATAAATACCTGTGTTGATTAACTTTTAATGTTAATTAAGGGGAAAAAGGATAAACTCTTTCTTGAACCCACAACCTTGGTGTATCAGGATGAGTCTCTAACCAACTGAGCTGCGTGGCCACAGGCTAAAATCTCTCTTCATTGAGTTTTCAATTTACTTGGTAGGTTATATAAAGAACATATTTAGAATCTTTGTGTACATATGGCTTACAAAGCTATTTTTAGGCCAGCATGTGACTTAATAAGCATTTTGTCTGGAGCTGCAAAAAAAAGCAAGTATTTTTCTTAAACATGAGGGGTTTATCAAGTAACCATAAAGCAAAATTGAGGCATTTGTGGCTTTTTTTGGTCTTTGCTATCATTCTAGTTTTAACATCAAATGGTTGTTGTGCTACGTATATTGTTGTTGTGAAAATATATCAGAAGTATTTAAAAAGATAAAAATATTAAAATTATTGAATAAGATAGTTCATTTATGATACCAATTCCTAACTGGGGAAAATGTACACGTATATTCTTGGTATAGAATGTTTAAGCCCAGCATGTCATTAAAACTTTCAAGTCTTACTATCACAAGCTCTATGAATAGGATTTTATCTCCATTCTCCCCATTGCTTTCTGACAGACAGACAAAGGGAGCTCATTATGAAAATGTGTTTAAAACAAAAGCACCCCACATGGTAGGGGGGGAAAGATTTAGGTAACATTGAAGTAAACATTTCTTTTCCAGCTCTTATTACACTGTGGTAAAAGAATACGCCTCACAATAAGCAGGTAGAATGTTGCCATTTAGTGAAAGTTAGCCGCTGAGCTAATTGCCAGACTTTGGCCAAGAGTACCGTATTTAAAAGAGAAGGTGGTCAGGTGGTGACGGAGTTCCTACAGCAGGTTCTGTTCTTCAGAGAAAATTCATTTCCTGTCATCAAATGCTGTGGATTATAGTCTTCGTCTCCCCTTGGCCACAGAAGCAGTGCCAAGGCTCTTTCCTCAGCAACACTGCCTGGTACAATCAGCACAGAAGGGTTTCACCTGCTGTATTTTGTAGCTCAGAACACAGCATAGTGCTGCTTTGAAACTGAAAGTGATCACTTTGTAAGTAACTGTATTTGCAAGGCCTTATTTGGAGAAGGAAAAAATAACAGCAAGAAACCCACATGTAGACAGAAGACGTCTTGGTGAAGTTATAAAGCAGTATAGAGTTAGAGTTGGTAAATAATTCCCAGTCATAGAAACTTTTGTAGGAACATTTAAAACTAATTCCTAAATGATGTTTAATAGTAGTAAAATAAAAGCACAATCTAAGTTCATGATTTAAATAATTCAGCATAATTTTCAAATAAATAAAATTTTGAAAAATTAATCCATTGCATCTGAAAAGTAATCTTCTTCTGTAAGACAAGGGAAAGGATGGAGATTCAAAGAAAGACAGAAAACAAAATTGATAAAGAAAAATGACCTCAGATCAGAGAGAAATGGGATACAATCTCACCTCTCTATAGCTGCTATTCTTTTAAATGCCTAAAAAAAAATTTAAGTGTATTATGTAGAGAAAAAGTGTCACCCTTCACCCCCTCTGATCTATAAGCTAAGTCCCAAGACGCTTCTCCCTGTCTGTAGTCATTTTCAGTCCCAGAAGACATTAAAACACCCTGTGGTCCATTTCCTATTCCAGAGGAAGAGCTTTCTTACTCTTCAGACTCTGGAAAAATTGAATGAGGGTTTTTCCGGCTGAATAAAAGTGGCTAGCCAGTCCTTTATTTATCATTCTCTATTAGGTACTGAATTTTGACTCAAAGCCAATCCACATAGTCTATAAAACTGGGGGAAATATTTTATTATTTTATCCTCCCAAATTTAGTTTTGGTGATCATTCAACTGCTACCAACAAATGAATGACAAACATACATAATACTTATGTAGACAAATAAACTTCTAACAAAAAAAAGAATTAGTAGAGTTTTAGTTTGTAAAGATATGACTAAAATCACACTTTTATAACCACGCAGTTAGATTAGTCAAAATATCTGGATTATCTTATTGTTCAGTATGATATTTAATACTGTATGAGACAACATGATCACATAAATAATCCTCAATTTAGCTACCCTGATTTAGAGTCTAGAGTTAGCTCTGCTTTCTTCTACTCTAACATTATTTTGATTCTTAAATTGATACCCTCTAATGTTATAATGTAGGGTCATTATGATTTTATTTCCATGTTGGGTTTACAGTTTTTCACCTAACACATGAATATGGCCCTTTAGAGGTGCATGGAGCATATTTGGGGTTGAACTTACCAGACCATGTTAATGAAATAGATCTATGAGAAAGAAAATATGACAACCAATCACTTGCCAAGTGCTTTGATTCATAGTGTCCAGTTTTTAGGGACCATCGGGCACAGGGATCCTATACTCAACAGCAGGATATGTTTCCTACAGCAGTAGATGCTGTTCCATTAGGCGTGGAAATAGATGGTAAATGTCAATATACGTCTCGAGCATTCAGTGAACTTGATAATCACTTTGTGTTTTTTTTTCTCATCCTCTTTCCTATAGCCAACCCAACCCGAGCAGGGGGAAGAGAGCCATACCCAGGCTCAGCAGAAGTGATTCGGGAGTCCAGCAGCACCACGGGCATGGTGGTGGGGATAGTAGCCGCTGCCGCCCTGTGCATCCTCATTCTCCTCTATGCCATGTACAAGTACAGGAACCGGGATGAAGGCTCATACCACGTGGACGAGAGTCGAAACTACATCAGTAACTCAGCACAGTCCAATGGGGCTGTTGTAAAGGAGAAACAACCCAGCAGTGCGAAAAGCGCCAACAAAAATAAGAAAAACAAGGATAAAGAGTATTACGTCTGATTCCAAGATCCTAAAAGGACCCTTGTATAGAAATAGTCTTCATTTTATCTGAGACATAATATAAACTTATTTACTTTCCTTTTTATGAAGCACATACAAAAGAAGACAGGGAATGCAATCAGGAAGGAAAGACTGTTTTTAAAAAATAAAAACAAGTATCTCATGCTCTTGTTTCTCCAAAAAAGAAAAAAAAAAGCAGGGGCCAATAAATTCCCTAACATCCACAGTGTTTTCATTTACTCTGCCTGTCTTTATGTTGCTGGAACATTTCTAAAAGACAGTGATGACCGCACGCATTCATAAAGCAAAGGAGTATTACAACATCAAGGCACAACATAAAAACAACACAAAACACCACACACAAAAAGAGAAGCTACCTATGATCCTGGATTTAGCCAAAGTGCTAGCGCTTTCCTGACAAGTCAGATAGTCCTATGGCCAGAGAAGACTGTGTCATTTTGAGTGACTCGACCTGCAAACCCGTAAGAGTTCGCTGCCTGGCGCAAGTGGAGCAGTGGTTGGAACTTGCATTCGAAACAGAGTGCTGGCTTTTTTGAAGACTTGTGTAGGAACACATTCGAAAAGCCCCTTTCTGATTGTGAGGGAAAAAAATAGTATGGAGGCCTTATTTTCAAAACAATGTGAAATATAAGGCACATTTTCACACTAAAATTTCAAAACAAAAACAAGAGGGCATAGATGCAATCACTGGGAAATTTTCATGCACGCTTAATACGTTATTACATATGTTTATATAAAATCCATCTCTGTGTGCTTTCTGGACTGTGGTAAGTGACGTTTTATAGCCTGTTGTATAGAAAATGCAAAATATATCTCTGCTCTTCAGCCATTTTTGGTAAATTCAATGTTATAAGTGTTGCTAAGTATAGGGAGTTTTATGACGTCAGAGCAACAGTTATTTCAGGGTTTTTTTTCCCCCATCATAATAAATTGCCACAATTACTTAATTTTTTAAAATAAAGTTACAATGTAGTGTTTATTCTAAGAAAGATATGTATGAATGTATATAAAAAGATTCAGCTACATTTTTTCTTACATGTACAGCCTTCATTCTGTTACAATTAAGTTTTAGTATCTGTATGAAAGGTGTGAATTAGAAGGTAAAATATATACGTATGTATCTTATAATCTTTCCCCCCAAAATACATTCCCTACATACATTCACTGTTCACAATCACAGACACATAAATCCAGAGTAGTCCATCAGATATGATGAAAGACTAAACAGATTATATATATATATATACACACACACACACACACAGTAACAAATATTTACCAACAAATTTAAAAGCAGGAAGACACATAGTTGTGCCAAGGTATTGACGTCAGATGGAGTGATCATGGAGATCATGTGCTCCCAAGAAATTCCCAGAATATTTTAGTCCCTAATGAAATGGAACCTTTTCTTATCAAACAGAATATCAATGATACCTTGCTACATGAATATGAACCATTATGTGGGGAGGTTACAGAGCAAAATTAGTTGATAGACATCTTAACCCTGGTTGCTGCGATTGAAAACTTTGTTTCCCCCAAAATTATATTTTTCCTCTGAATCTCATGTGCATGATAAACACTTTGGAAAGTAAACACTTTCTCAGCTAAGAAAGTATTTTCAGTAATTTTTTATTCTGTATTACTGTCCTTTTAAAAACCATTCTCTATTTGTTGATTATTGACTATATTTTAACTTTTGTGGTTTTGCATATGTATCATTAAATGTTCTAATTTAACACACATTAAAGAGTAGGAAAGTATAGATTACACACTTGTTTTGCATATTGTTTCAATGATGTTCATAGCAATAAATTACCAACATGAGAAGGTAATGCAAAGGAAATTGCATTACTAGATTGAGGCCTCGGTATAAATTGCTTGCATTACTTCAACATCTCCTAAAATGATACTAGATTTCATAGAGAATAATACCTTTACAATTAGCTTTAATCAGCAAAGGCAAAAAAAATGCAAAACATCTTTTGTAATACTTTAGTTGATTAAAAAATAAAGCCAAGAAGCGGCCTGGATTTCAGACATACAGCGCCTTAGAAACATGTACAATTCATAGCAAATCACCACTATCTATGGTTGCCAAGAAATTGTTGTATGTGAAAAGTTTTAAAGGCTTTTCATGACCTAGAAAGTAGCGGTATAAAACTAAAATTTGATATCCGTTACTTGTGTTTTGAATTTTTAAAAAAAATTTGCTCAGTTAAAAAATTCATGTCTTTCTTCCCCTCTTCTCATTCAGCCTTACTCAGGGAAAGCCAGTGAAATAAGAAGGTAAAATATAAAACCACTAATTTACATCTCGAGATTATACAAATAAATAGCTGCTTTTCCATTTGATCTACGCAACTTTACCTAGTTTCCATCTGGAAAGATTCCAAAACTGATAGAAAATAATGGCATTGGTAAGCAGTATATCTATAAAGTGTGTTGTCTGGGACTGATTTCAATGTTTCTTTCCAACATAAATTTTAAAATTTCATGTAATGATGCAATCTGATATTGTCAGTAGAAATATTGCTAATGTTATTGGCCTACACAAAATCTAGCAATTTTTTGCTCTTTCTTTTAAAGTGGAGAAGGAAAAGAGAGGAACATGAGCTAGAGAGAGAAAAAGACGTGAATAAAACCCCAAGTATCTTCATACCAAAAGTATCAGGGTTCCATGCACAGTTTGCAATTAATAGAGGATTTCACACTACCTGGCATAAATTTGATTACATCTCTAGACTGTAACTTTTATGATCAAGTCTGCTTCTTTTTTATTCATGTAATGTGTTGCCTTTTTTAAAACAAAACTACTACATAATGTGTGATGTGGTCAGTCCCTAAAACATCAAAGAATGACCACGTGACTTTCCCATTCTAGTGCTCTGTGTGACTGGGTATCTAAGGGTTTTGTTTTGTTTTGTTTTTTCTGTTGCAAGGCCAATTTATCCATTATTGGAAATGCTAAGCAAGTGGAATTTACTGTTTTGTTAATAAAATATTTCTTAATACAACTGTGGATTACTTGATTTAAAAAATATATATGCAACATCATTTTGGGACAAAAATAACACAGAAGGCTGTGTTTCAAAGGAAAACCAATCCTAAGACAAGCAGGGAAAAAAGATCAACTCTGATTTTTCTGGATTTTAATACTAGCTAAATACCTCTACACTCGAACTTAAAGATACAACCATTTAAAATGTACCTTTGTTTATAACTATTAATCTTCCTATACATGAAATTATAAACTCATACAACTAGTTAAAAACAAAGATGCTGATTTCATAAAGAGGGCTTTCTCTATAAAAAGCAATGTAATTCATGGTAAGTAAATCCATGATTACATTCTAACACTATCACTTATGAGCTACAAGTTACCTCAAGTCTTTGTCTCCCTTTTCTCATTAGTGAAGTAAGGGTAACATTACCAACCCTTATGGCAGTAAGGATAATAAGAACTATTAGTGTGCCTGGCACAACCAACTGCAAAGAAAAGGTTGTTGCTTGTACACTATTATTTTTCATAAGAATAAGAAACAGGAGAAAACATGTCAAAAATGGAAATATACATATATAAGAAAGTATGGAAAGAAATGCACTTGTTCGTTTTCCATATAACTTTTCTTTCTGCAAAAGCAAAGTGACATTTTAGAAATCAGTTGGCCACCATTTACTTTCGGTACATTTTAGTTCCCTGACAACTTTCTCTTTAACACATTTTATTTATTATGCTATTACAGTTGTCCTATTTTTTCCTGCTCTGCCTATTTTCTGCCTATTCCCCTCTGCCCTGCACCAGCCCTTCCCGCAAGCATTCCTCCCTTCTTAGTTCATGCCCATGGGTCATGCATACAATTTCTTGGCATCTCCATTTCCTATACTGTTCTTGACTTTTCCTGTCTATTTTGTACCAAATGATTATGCTTCTTATTTCCTGTACCTTTTCCCCTATTCTCCCAGCTTCCTGTTGATAACACTCCATATGATCTTCATTTCTATGATTCTGTTCATGATCTAGTTGTTTGCTTAATTTGTTTTTGTTTTTTGGATTGGTTTTTTTGGGGGGTTCATTTGTTAATACTTGTGAGTTTGTTGTCATTTTACTGTTCATATTTTTGATCATCTTGTTTTCTTAGATAAATCCCTTTAACATTTTCAAATAAGGTCTCGGTGATGATGAACTCCTTAAACTTGACCTTATCTGGGAAGTACTTTATCTGCCTTTCCATTCCAAATGATAGCTTTGCTGGATAGAGTAATCTTGTAGGTGGGTTCTTGCCTTTTGTAACTTTGAATACTTCTTTCCAGCCCCTTCTTGCCTGTACAGTTTCTTTTGAGAAATCAGGTGATAGTTTTATGAGAACTCCTTTGCAGGTAACTGTCTCCTTGTCTCTTGCTGCTTTTAAGATTCTCTTCTTTTTAATCTTGGGTAATGTAATTATGATGTGCCTTGGTGTGTGTTTCCTTGGGTCCAACTTCTTTTGGACTCTTCGAACTTCCTGGAAGTCTATTTCCTTTGCCAGATTGGGGAAGTTCTCCTTTATTATTTATTCAGATAATTGTTCAATTTCTTGCTCTTCCTCTTCTATTTCTGGCACCCCTATGATTTGGATGTTTGAATGTTTAAAATTGTCCCAGAGGTTCCCGAGCCTCTCCTCAATTTTTGAATTCTTGTTTCTTCATTATGTTCCAGTTGAATGTTTATTTCTTCCTTCTGGTTCAAACTGTTGATATGAGTCCTGGTTTCCTGCCCCTCACTGTTGGTTCTCTATACATTTTGCTTTATTTCACTTTGCATAGCCTTCACTTCATCCTCTATTTTGTGACCATACTCAACAATTGCTGTGAGCATCCTGATTACCAGTGTTTTGGATGCTGCATCTGATTGGTTGGCTATCTCTTCATTGCTTAGCTCTATTTTTGAAGCTTTAATCTGTTTTTTTCATTTGGGCCATATTTCTTTGTTTAGTGTGCCTATTATGTTTTAAGGGGTGGAGCCTTAGCTGTTTATTCACCAGGCTAGAGTAACCCATGTGGATGCATTGTGGTGCTGTATGTGGAAGAGGGTTCTGAAAGGGAACAATACATCTTGCTTGGATGTTGGCTGGCTTTCAGTTACTTCCTCCACTACCCATAAGCAAATTGGGCCCTTCTGTGGCTGATTCCCAGGTGGGTGGCTCGGTGTACATTCCAGAACC